GTAGCACCGTTCAACATTTTGCCTTCACAATCTTTGATGATTTTTTCATTTCGCATCATAAGACTCAAAATGATCCTTTCCAAATCGATGTCGCTCAATAGACCTTTGTTGGAGACTGCAAATTGTGCAAATTCTTCCTTTGACAGTTCGGCAACAAGCGATGGAATTTCAACCAGCAATGAACCAAATTCCTTCTTCAGATTTTCTGTCGTCGTCTCGACGTTCTTTTGCTGGCATTTGTTGTTGGCCCAAGCCATGCATCCATTGACAATAAGCGATGCGCTGCCCTTTGATAACTGCACCAATTGCACAATTCTCTTCAGCATCACCTCATTGCAGTTCAAGAAATCGATCGAATTCAGCACACCTTCTAGACTTTCTGTGATCTTTTGCTCGCAGAATTTGATGACTTTTTGTAATTCAAGAAGAAGCGCCAGTTCATAACCGGAGCACATGTTGTCGGTCACTGACAGTGTCTTCAGCATACCGGTTTCGCACAGTAACAAACCATCGGCGACTTCGTATTTATGGCACAAATTCGTCACGGTGAAGATGTTTTCGGGTGTCAATTGTACACTGCCCAAGTAAAAGAATTGTAGAAACTCTCTGAACGCAGCGGGAGATGCATCAACGATTTGAACATCGCCGGTTTCTTTTATTGAACCAAAGAACATTGCTTCGAAGACCGGACTGCCAGCAGAGAGCATAATTTTGTGGGCCGGCACGTGTTCAGTTAGATCACCATCGATTTCGAAGACAAAACTCATGTCGGCTGTTTTCGAGTGAAGGTACAGCCTCTCACCACTTCTCATCAACAATTTGTTATTGCCTTTGAACACCTTTGTACTCATTGTGATGGTCGAATTTTGCGGTTCAAACTGTTTTTCAAAGAAGAAATTACATTGAAAATGCCAACGAGTGTAATAAATAAATGGTGTTTTGGTAAAATAAGATACAAAGAATGGAAATGTTCATTGAAATTGGGTTGGATCGCTTTTGATCAGATATTTATGCAAAAATTAGACAAAGAAAATTTAATCGAAAACTTACCTTTTTGTCAATTGGCTCTTGGGATGTTTGTAATAATTTGAGAATATAGTGTCTTCAAACGTTGAAATAGATTCAATCGACTAGTTGGTTCAGAGTAAAATAGAAATCATGTCAGTATATCTCTAAACCGTATAAAATAATTAGATGTAATTACTTACTTTTGCTGTTTATTGTATAAAACTCTTTAATAATGGATTGAAATATAGACAATTATGGATTTGGCTTATGAGTTGAATCAATAAATGTAATCGTAAAAAATTTTAAAATCAAGAGATTCGTTATTTGCTCACCAAACGAGAGATGACGAAAGAATGCGCTTGTCTGTACAATCGAGACGGCTTGTATGTTTCTACCATCGAATTTTGACACATTAATACTGAACGAATGAATTGAGATGCGTTCAATGTACTTCTGTCTTGCATACTTTAACCATGATATGGTACTCAATATGCAGCTCAAAACTGCTGAAGAATACATATGGTACCGTTTTAAAGCTTGGAGTATTGACGGGAACTCTTACTTTTGGAATTTTTTGAACACTAGAATGCAAACTTTTGTGTTTTTTGTGTGTAAAGAAAACTCCATAAATACGCAATACCAACTAACCCAATGGGAGGAAATGACACCAAATCTTAAAATTGGCGCGCTGTTTAGTTTCGATTTGAGTTGTTAAATTACTTTGACGTCCCCTTTGAAATTCGGGGCGCCACCGTCGGCTCAAAGAGACTTGAAGTCTTCACATCCTCCCATTGAACTAACCATCATTAGACCATCGAAAAGATGATTCAAATAACTTTTTACGTTTTTTATTCAACTTGAAAAGACACTTGCCTATAATTCAATTATGAAATAAAATGTCTTACATCCGTAAGATGAACTTTTCCGCACCGTGATCCACACCATGCATTTATTACAAATCTTTTACTCAAAGAATTCACGAGAAAACTGAACCTGACATTAGTTTTAAGATACAAATAATTTTCGAAGCACTTTTCATACAAAAACTACTAAAAATGAGAATTTTTGTATCGCAGCCATGCCTATATGATATCGTAATCATGTGAAAATTTGCAGAAGGTTATTTTTTCACAAAAGGCTAACATTCCGAAAGTTTGAAGAAATTTCAATGCATATTAAGGGTACTTCCCATACAACATTTCGTTTTTGAGCGAAAAATCCAAAATTTTGTTCGGGAGGTACCCCTAATATGCGTTGAAATGTTTTTAAACTCTCGAAATGGTATTTTTGTATGATAAAAATAACCTGTGCAAAGTTTCAGCTCATTACGATATCATACAGGCATGGCTTCCATACAAAAATCCAATTTTTTTGAAATTTTTGTATGAAAAGTGTGTCGAAAGTTATTTGTATCGCAAAACTAACGTCATATTCGGTTTTCTCGTACCCAAAAACCCCCCAATACACATTTTTGAGTGTTTAAGTATACATTAAATATCACTTTTGGAAGAAAAATTGAATTTTTCTCATGAATGGCCATAGGCATCACACCAGACATGACACTTCACTCTGTCAACCAAAGCGGCTCAAAATCTAATGGTTTCTATTCCTCGGCACCTCCAATCATCCTGTGAAGTCAGATTTTGAATTACTTTTCTTGTTTGAAAGTTATCGTGTTAACAAATTTTTGCGTACAGCGTACAGCGTACAGCGTACCACGCACATACATTCGGACATCGAAAAAACGCTAGATTCGTGTTTCCTGGCTCCTAAAACACCCTCAAAAAACATGTTTTCTGGGTGTTTTAGGA